GCTTTCTGTGGATTGCTATGTTCTTAATTTTTCCTTCTGTTTTTATTACCGTGCTGAGAGAGGTTTACAAATTTGGCCATGATCAGTCACGACAGACTGTCACTGTCTTTTCTGATGTCTTTAATGTGAATTTGATGGTCTTGGGCTGATTATTTATAGATTGCTGGGAGTAGAGATGAAAATTGAACTTAGGCCTCATGAGTCAAAACTAAGAGATGATTTTACTTTTCAGATACAAAAATGTTAAACTCATTCAATTAGTACCAAGAGAAATGATATAGTCAGAGAGAGAGAGAGGTCTTTAGTGGCTTATGTTTCTTATCGTATCAGGCTATGAAAAATCCCAAGTCATCTTAACCATGTGGCCCATTCACGTCTACCCACTCACCACAACCTCACAAGAGCTCTGCGAGCACCGCGGTGGACAAAGGCGTCCGTGACGCTTACGTGTTCTGCTGTGTGGGTCGAGGGACCCGGCTCCCTATCAGACATAAGTCATGGACCTTCCTCTGTGCCTCATGCTGTAGAGAGCAGGCACAGCCTGAGTGCCACGAGATGCAGGCAGTGCACACACATCCTCCACAAGGGCCTGCCAAACAAAACCAAGAGCTGCCGCCTGTTTCTAAATTGCTTGCATGCCAGGTAGGACCTAATTTAATTTAGTAGATAATAATCCTCTTAAAAGGTCTGTCTAGATCACTTTGTCCTAAGTGGAAAAGCTAATGGATACTACAAATGGGATGGGAGACTGTGGAGAAATGCATACAATTTTGTATAGGAAGTGGCATTTTTGTTCTGGCAGCAGGAAAGATTCAGACTTTGGTGATCATGGGCCAGGTCTCAAACTGTCAGGGTCTCAGCATGTGTCTGGTCAGATTTAACCATTATAAATATAGGGGTATTTCTTTTTTGCTGTTCGTACTGTCAAATGGTATTGTGAGTCTGCCTCCCTTCTATAGGTATTATTTCAAAACCTATAGACTGAGAAAAGGTGAAGATATGTAAGGGACTTCAGACTCTCCTGTCATCAAACTGTCTCAGTGCCCGGCTCTCAGAAGCCAGGGACAAACTGTGTTTCTGTTGTGCTGTGTTAGGAAAATGCCAAGAGTGCATTGCGTGAAATTCTTCACAGTTAAAATGTGAAAGCAGTCATGTTTGTGCAATGCTGTGGGGCCTGCTGGTAACCTGACTTTCCAGAGGGCAGAGAACAGCTCAGCTGCGGCTGCAGCTCCATCACATTTGGGTCGTACGGGGTGTACATCTGCCTTATGTGTTATGCTTGTCTTGGGCCCACCCTTCTAGCCTTCCTTTGCCTGCCACCCACAATAAGTTAGCTCCTACTTACTATGGTCGAAGTTACTACGTTCCAAGTTCTTGCATAAGAGCTTCCCTATCATATTTGAAGGAGAAGGGTCTTAAGAATGGCTCTGACTCCTCTTCTCCCCTTTGTGGCTCTTGCATCTAGCACTGCTGAGTGGGTTGCTCTGTGCAGATTGCCTGCAGGTATCACTGCTCCCTCCTGCTGCTCCCTTTAGTCGGTATGTAATTTAGAGAGGGAAAACCAGTGTGATTTGGACTCTTTCTGAACATGCTGGTTTCTACCAGTGTAGAACACTTTTTATGTTGACTTTATTTACACACATAAATGCCCACAAGAAATGCCGAATATTCTTTTCCAGGGTAATCTTTTATGCCATGTGTACCCAGCAAAGGAGGAGGAGCAAAGGAAGGAGAAGGGCTTGAGTTGTTACCACATGAATGTAAGCTTGGTTATTTACCAAAACTGTCCAGAGTCTAAAACAGAGGGATTTTACCTCACACACAAGATCTGAAGGGCATACCTGGTTAATGCAAAGCAGAGCAGGAGAATGAAAGATAATTTAATCTGTTTTTATTCCCTTAATTTTCTTTTGCTCTCTATTTTTAAATTGCTTGTGTATGAAAGTGTAAGAAAACTAATTGAAATGCAACACAGTCCACACCTCACATTTGTATGCCAGGCAGGCAGCGCTAACGGGGTTGCTCTGAGGTAGAGGGGCCGCCCACAACGTGGAAAGCTCAGTTTATTGCTGTGCCTGCTCCGTCTCTGCCCTGCCTGCTCCAACTGAGGTGGGAATTAGTGCCAGCTGAGACCTGGTGCCTGGATAAGGGCATCTGCAAACTGCACCCATGGCTGTTCGCATGTTGGCATTTCATTCAAGCTGGGTAGCCTGAGTGGTGTAGATACATGGCTCAAGGCCACGTGGTTGGTTCTAGTGTTAGCATCTGTTGCCAATTCTGGTTTGGGACAGATTTTAGGTTGGACATTGAGACTGGTTTTGAGAAATCGTGGAGGGGCCTGGGATTCCCATATTCCACCAAGGAAGCTGAAGCAGGAAAAGGGCAACTGGCAGTATTGGTGGAAGCCCATTTTTTGTCAGTTGTACTTGATTAATGGAGACTATTCCTAGGCTGGGTTTTGGATTATGAAACATAAGCAGGCTTGGGCCCAGGTTCCTGCAAGATTCTTGGAGCCACAGGGAAGAGAGGAGGGCTGGAGCTGGTAGGGAAAAATCATGAAAGTCAGTTGGGTTTTGTCAGTCAACATTATTAGCTTTGATAAAGGATTTTTTTTTTTACTGTGAGAAAAAGAAAAATCTGTCAGAATACTGACAGCTGCAGCTGCAGCTTAGGAATACACCTAGCTGCATGCACTAGGTGTATTCCTAAATGCATAAAAATGTGCTAGCTGGATTTTCATACTCTAGGGGGATTAAAAGCTCAAAATCATTGAAATTCAGGAGGTGTCAGACATATTGCGTCCTTGGAGATACAGACCAGAAATTTAGATCCCTTGGGGCTACAGAAAGGGAAACAGGCAGGTGTTAACTTTGACTTTTGACTTTGGCTCCCTACCACTTCTAAGGAGATACCCTGTCGAGAGGTGTGTTAGCAGCTCTGGCTTGGGGAGGCACGTGGGAGCAGGCTTGGGTGCTGCGTATGGTTTTTCTCCAAGGGTAGGTGTTGCACACACCTCGTGCTTCCCAAGGGACTGATGTTTCCACTGCCCCCTCCGGCTGACAGTAAAGCAGCGTGGCTTCCTGGGCACTGTGCAGGTGTATTTCTGTGCTTTTACCAGGTGTGCACTTATGTTTATGTCTGTTTTCTATTTAATAATCTCTCCTGTGCAGTTTTCTGCTTTACATCCCTATATCCTGAATTTAAAGGCATTAAGTTTGGGTTTGATTGTTAGCTGTCTCCTGCAGGTTCCCATGAGGTTTACAGGTCACTGCTGAAGCCACCGTGCTGTTCTGACATGGAGTCTTTTCAATGCTACTATATAAAAATTAGTCATATTTTTATGTGTCATATTTAAAGTCTGGTCTTGTAAGAGATGCTTGGTAAAAGCGAGAAAGAGGGCAAGAGCAGTATGATCCTTCCCCTGGTATAACTTCCCAGCTTCCAGCAGGTGATAATGTAGTGCCTTCCTGGGCGTATCAGTATCATCATGTTTGATAGTCACTCACGGACATAATCCTCATGAATCAGTTTAATCCCTTTTGAAGCATTTTTAAGTTTTTGCTGCCTATAACATCCTTTGACAAGTTGCATTCTGGGTGATGAAGTTTTTAATATTTTGCACAAATCTTTTGCATTTTCCTCCTCCGGAGGCCTTATATTTAACTTATTCTGCAGGTAGATGCATCCACGCAGGAGCACCGCTGGTCCTCGGGGCTTACAGAGATGGGGAACGCGAGGGAGCATCGCCGCAGCGTGTCTGCTGCAAAGACTTCTCTCCGCGTGGTCTGCCCCGTCGTCCCTTCACGCCGCGGTGTCAGTGACTGGGGATAAGGCAGGCTCTAAACACGGACCAGCTCTTGCTGCTGGGCCTGGAGCTGGGCCATGGGGACAGGGCTGCCAGGCAGCTGCACCCGTCTCGCCCGCGTATCCCCATGGGCACATTCAGCACCAGGCTGGGTAGATCTGACCTGCCAGGAAGAAAGTACGACTTCGATTTAAAAGCATTGCAGCAGAGAACTCACTCTGTTTCTTGAATGTTTCTTCCAGTTAAAACCAGAAGTGCAAACTCCCTTAGCACACCTTTAAAGGCTACTTTAAGTAGCACTACTTTGCCTCAGATCAAGTTTAAACAGCTAAAACATTATGTATACATCGCCCTTACAGAGTCTAGTTATTACCAGTGATCAAGTTCCTTTTAAGCAGCCGAAAGCTTTGTATGTGAATGTTATCCTTGAGTGGCTATCTTTTTATCCTTAAAAATTATTTTTCTTATCTGTGTGTGTAAATATATTTATTATTATTAGTGTAGGCACCATATGCGTGCAGGAAAACAAAACAAAGCAAAAAAGAAAAGATGCTTTTTTTCATGGAATACTTTGTACTGGTTAAAATTACAGGCTGATGTAAAAGATGCTTTGGAAACTGATGAGAAATCCACTTATTTTTAAATCAGCTCTTGCTGGTCAAAAAGTATTTTGATTTCTGTATTTTTGTTACGCAACTTTGTGTATTTTCTGCTATCATTAATGTGATAGCTTCCTTGAAAACGCTCATGTTGATGCTTACTGTTACTTGTGTTAGAGTTTCTCTTTCTTAAGATCACCAAAACCAAAATTTTTAGCCACTCTTTTAGCTCAAAAAAAAAATAGAGGATTGAGAGAATTAGAGTTGAGAAGGAAAACAACTCTCAGCTTTACCTTCTCTCTGGCTTGCACATTTAGGCAACACAAATACAGTACTAACAACAGAACTGCTGAGAGTTACGCTGCTTCCTCCAAACCTCGTCTCAGAAATGAGTCCCACAGCTCTCTGCAAAGTAATTGGTCTAATTAGGTGGTAGGAAGGAGCTTCTTTAAATTCCTCAGAAATAAAGACGTGTCATCCGCTTAACATCTTAGCATCTGTTACTGCCTCTTGCACATTTCTCCACTGCAGCAGCCTGACGGGCACTTTCCTAGTCCCTTCAGAGAAAATAAAATAAAACCCTTGCAATAGAAGCTTTGGCCCCTTCTCCAGTGGGATGAAGCATTTGTGGCATTGCACCTCCTCCTTATTTCTGAGTTTTGTGCACGTTTGCCTGGGTAAGTACAATAATCATTTTGTTAATTAAAATATAGGAGGATACAAGCATAACCTTAAATCCTGTAGTAATCCTTGCTGATGTGGTAATGTGGTCCTGAAATATTTTCCTCGCAGAGTGATCCCTGTGCAAATGTCACCCGCTGTGCTTATATATTTACAGTTTTGTTTCAAATGGGCTAATTTGAATCTCTAACAGTTAGTCAGTAGAATAACAACTAATTTGTTGTTTTTTGTTTCTTTTTTTAACTTTGTTTGCTGTTGTCTGGCAGCAAGTAAGTAACGATTTAATTATGGCTAATTGCTCGTGCACTAGGCATAATGTTATGACAGGGTATGTTTAGAACGTCGGGCAGGTTGGCACTGGGAAAGTTTCAGACTCGAGGGATAGCGTAGGGGAGAAGCGTGCACGCCGAGAAGGTTAATTCTGCAGTGAAGCTGCCTGGAGCTGGATGGGAGTTCTTAGAGACATCCTGTTTGATGACGATTCCTTGTTTTTTACTTATTGCTGCCCTGTGAATAGCAGAACAGCAGCATGTGCAAGTAATTTAATACAAATATCTGCACCTATGTGATTCGGAAAGTCTCTTAGAGCGACTGGTTGTGTTACGCGCTCGTGCTATTCCCAGAAGAGCTTACGTTTACTGAGAGCTAGGCAGCAAAGCCAAGTAACCGCCGTCTGTGAAATGCATTTCTTTGGCTTCTGTTTTGTTTTCATTGCAGTTCAGGCAAATTATGCCCCCTATTTCTTCGATAACGGAGACAGAAGCACGAACGGGAACATGGCACTTCTTAGCCTTTCGGAGGATACATCCATTGGTTAGTATTAAAAATAGTATGTTTAACTGCATAGAGAAACTGAAGCCACTTGCTCTTTTGATTAGCGAAGTATACTTTGATGTGGGTGTTATTGCATACTGTGGTCTTGCTCTTTTTTTCCCTCTCAAACTCAATTGAAATTTCCCTCCCTCAGTGTAAAACGACATGTTTAAATTGTAGCTGTAATTTAAAACACGTATTTTAGCTTTCCCATTCTTGGTCCTGTAATTTATTTGCAGTACCAAAGTACAGAACTTTGGGATTAAAAATAAATTCATAGTGGGAAGGGATTTCTTACAAATTTCTGCAAATGTTTATGTGAAGAAAGCAGAGTTCCTAATAATTTTATCAGACTTTGTATCCCCAAAAGCAAGCTATACATGGAAAAATATGAGTCAGGTTTTTCTTCATAAAGTTGTTATATTTCTAGTGTTTGCAGTATAAATGGTAGAAAATGTTTCTACTTGAAGTGAAAATTGCTTTCTCTAAATATCTGACTCTTTAAAAAAAGGTTTGGCTGTGTTATTGAAAATTCAAGAGTGGATACATTTTTTCAATTTTCAAGCGTCAAAAAGCATAGCTTTGGAAGGAGTCTCTTTATTTCACTCTTTTTTTAATTTAGTTGCACTAAGAAAAGTTTAAATGAAATCAAAAAAAGGTGGTTTGTAGTCATTATCCTCCATGGGGGGGGCAATGAGTGGAAACTATTTCTATACCAATTTTCATGTAAAATATATTTCAGTGTTAAACACCACCGTTGTGCGCACAAGTGCAGAGCTGAGGTCTTGTTTTGGGGTTTGCTCCGCTGAGGTGGCAGAGGGCAGGAAGGGGCTGGTTTGGAAGCGGGGCCGTAACGAACAAGGCGGCAGCCGTGGAGGCTGGGGCGGCGCAGACGCGGTGCCGTGGCTGGCAGCGCGCGGGCCGAGAGCTCGCAATGCGCGCGGTCGGCCCAAGCGGAGAGCTCAGCTGAAGGCCAAGGGCAATGCGGAGGCGCCGGCGGCAGCCAGCGGCCGATGCGGGGGCTGTGATTTGTGCCGTTGCTCTGCCTGCGTTCGCGTGGAAGTCGCTCGCGCTTTTGCAGTCAGGACAGCTGTGCTGATTGCCACAGTAATATTGGCCACTGGAATCACTGGTCTGCTGGCGTAGATGAGGCTTGTGATGCCGGGCAGTCACTGACACGAAATGGGGCCCTTGCGCAGTTCATCCGAGGTGACGCTTGCCGCCTCCAGCTCAGAGCGAGGGAACTCGCTTGCCATCTGTCCCGCTCCCTGCTGTGGCGCCGGCTCCCTGGCACTCAGGGAGCATCAGCCCCTCTGCCACGGCCTGAGCTGCGAACCGCGGCCGCCTGCGTGGCGCGGGGAGCCCGAGGTGCTGGGGAGCAGGCCAGGGCGGCCCTCCTGCCAGGCTGAGCTCCGTGGGGCCTCCCGGCTGGCAGCGCCCAGCGCAGCAGTGAGGCGCAGCGGGCAGCTTCCTGGCACCAGGACTCAGCGTGTCCGGCCTGGGGCTGCGGGCAGGTGAAGACCGAGTGTGTGTGTCCCTACGAAGCAAGGTGATGGCGTGGTGGAGCGTGTGTTAGTGCCCCTGTAAGCAGCCCCAGCCGGAATAGTGATCATTGTGTGATAGCACGGGCTTTTGTACTATTAGCAACGAGGCTGAGTATGTAGCGGTCCCTGAAGAGTTCATGCTTTGGTTGCTATCGTGATGCAGCTCAAGCTGCTCAGCCTTTGGTGTTGTTGTTTCTCATGGGTGCTGGCTTCAGCCAGAATGTGTGTTTACCTGCCTGGTCTGTACTCCCAGTTTGCTGTATACATCTGCTTTGAACGAGAAGTAACTTCTGGCCTAACTCCGCAGAGGTGCTGCCAGAAAGGCTTCTCTGAGGTTTAGGAGGTTTTGAGTTTAGGCTGGAACTTCACAAAGGGCCTAGAGAAACCCTTGGAGAGCTTTTGTTTTGGGAAATCTCGATGTGGTGGCCTTGCCACGCAACTGCCAATTTTTCCTTGGTCTATAATTCTTAGGCCAGCCTGAATAAAATCTGGGAGCACTGCAAAGACCTCTTCTCTGAAAGCGCTTTGGGCAGTTCCCTCACAGCTGCTGCTAGTGGCAGAGTGAGAACTCGCCTGCAGCCCGAACCAGCACAGCAAGGTGCCCGGGATGCCCCGAGGAGGGCACGCAGGACACAGCAGCCTCAGTGGAAATGAAAACTTCCATATGTTTGATTCTGGATGCCCTCACTCAGCATTGGTTTAGGCACTGCACGAAATGAGCATGTAACCATTAGCTCTTCTCTGTGCTTAGATAAAAGTGGGAATCATAGTCGGATACTTTTCTTGGATATGCTGCAGCAGCAGTCAGGGTCTCATCTGAGCAGTGCCCTTAATAGCACCTTTAATAAATCTCCAGGAATTTATAGTCTTTGGTCCTGCTGAGGTTATAAGCAGTTGGCAGTGTGGTGTGATAGGTTCCCAGTCATCTGTAGACAGGGAACATTCACTGTTTGGAGCACAGAGAGGAGAGGATGGGCAATGGGATTGCAGAAGGAGCAGTTATAGTGGTGCACCAGCAAGAATGCAGCAAATTTAGGAAGAGTCTTGTGTACATGACTTTGTTAATCTTCTTTTCACTTGCAGTATGCTGCCTTCTAAAGTAGTGATGATCTGTCATGGGCACATACCTAGTGACTGACATAAGTTATCATAAGGATGGCAAGTGCCATTTCTGTGCAATGTTTGAAGTTGTCTGCCCATTTCCACATCCCGTTTAGATCCCAGAGCATGAGACCCCTTGAGACGAGAAGGGTCAGCAGAGCAGGAGTCCATTCCAGCCAGATTTAAGAAGAATGGAAAAGGTTGTGGGCTGAAACACTAGCTGCAGTTTGTGGCTGTTGGGCAGGGCAGGTGGGGATATTTGGTGATTAGCTCCTTGCTGAGATCTGCTTGTGTACATACAAAACATACATGTGCCCCTAATCAAGGTCTTAGGGCATGTGCAGGATGCTATTTCAGGTTGTTTGCTTCATCCTACCTCATTAATCTCTGTAAGCCGTCACAGTGGGGCACTGAGAACAGATGCAAAGCAAGAGACTGAAGCACACTTGTAAGGCTGAGGTTCATTACTTTTTAAAAGTATCATCTGAGCTCTGGAGATCTTTGCATGTCTCATCCTTGCATTTTCTGTTCTATTTCGTTTCATGCCAGCAAGTCTGCCCTCTCTCCCCAATTCCTCTCAGTGGTCAAAGCTGCAACTCACAGCTACCTACCAGGCTTCTTATTTACCGCTTGAGCTCGCTCCAGCCTTCAAGCTTCCCTTTTTGTTCCTACGTGCTCCTGGTCTGGTTCTATCCCACTGTTCTCTCCTGGCTGTGAAGAGTTGCCTCATGCTGTTTGGTATTTGTTGCTCCTTCTTTGTTACCCAAACCCAACCGATCGTCTCCAAAACAGTAGAAGTCCCTGCTGTCATGTTTCCTGCTCCTTCTTTTGGTGCTCAGAAACCCCATCCTGGCACTCTGCTGTCTCTCCACATGTTTTAGTGTATCTCCTTCCATCACAGGCATAGCTGAACCTGATTTTTTTTCTCCACACAATTAATTTCCAGACCTCCTCATCACAGATAATTTGAGTGAAAGAATTAGTATGCTTTTCTTTCCTATTACACTTCTTAGCTGACTAGACACACCATGCATGGAAATTTTAGCCCAAACTTTGCCTCGAAACCTGGAGAACCCACCAAGACCTCACACTGAGGTAACTCCCAAAAAGCTAAATTGTTATAAGGGAAGTGCTGCAAAAATATTCACCTCCTTGCAGAACCAGAGGTCTGTACCCTAGGAAAGCTGGGAGCAACCAGAACTGAGCTCTTAAATATAGCCTGTCTTCTGCATCGCAATGGCTGAGCTTGCACTAGGTGAGGTGGAGCACGTGCTGCAGAGCAGTGTTTGACAGATCCACACTGACAACTCCCAGGTCATATGGCCTTTTCCTCTGTTTTTATGCTTTTAACAGAAACTGCAGATATATCAGGAAATCACCCTCAAATTGCTTCTCCTTGGAGTCGGTTACGTTGGGCCCCACGGTGGGTGTTTTGGGGTTTGAGTTTAGGCTCAAGCACTTGCCGGTGTCCCCGGGCCCAGCCACACAGGGCCGCAGCCCCGCGGCGAGATCCAGCTCGTGCCGTAGACACTCCAGGCTTTCTTGCTGTTTTGTGGCCACTTCTCTGCTTCACGAGCCAACGCGATGCGGTGGCAGCCGCCCAGCGACGCGGGGAGAGGGCTGAAGCAGTCTGGACATGCTCTGGAAGCAGCATTAGCTGGTAGTGGGAAGGAAAGGGGAAGTGTTTGAGGTAGTCATAGCACATGATTCCCCTTCTCCAGAAGCTTGGGATCCCCTTTGCTCGAGGAGAGCTTGCAGCGCGAAGCAGCCTCCGTCGGCTTTGTGCATGCAACTGTTCCTTGCCCTTCCATGGGAGGAAACCAGCAGGCTAACAACCCCCAGCGAGCTGGTGTGGCTGTGGCTTTGGGAACGGCGATGCTGGCTCTGGGAGCTGTGCAAGTCCCCCCAGCATCTCACTAGCAGGTTTCATCTGCGGTGGCAGAGGAGGAGCGCGGAGGCTGAGCGCGAGTCCAAAATTTATTTGGTCTGTTGAACTTTGCAGTGAGGGGGTGATTCCTGAGTATCGGGCAAGCAAGAGGGCAGTGCTGTCTCCGAGCACCTGGGTGGATGCTGGCCTTGACTAAATGAATTTATGCTGGCCATGAATAAATCTAGGCTGGAAATGCAGTAAGATGGTGCAATGCCATCACGGGACAGCCATGCAACCTAAGCAGTTGAGCAAAGAGCAAGTGACTTTCAAGCTGGAATAGAAAAACAGAGTGAAAGTCTAATATGGGTCCTGGAGCAAGCAGTAGCAGGGAACAATGTGCTGCTCCCAGGAGTTTCCCAGCTCCCATCCTGCTGAGCCATCGCAAAGGTGCTCAGGGAACCAAGATCTGGACCTGTGCACGTTTCCCATATCCCCATTAAAGACTGCTTTATTTCCTTATCTTTCTGACAGGAAGAGGCTGTTTGCTGGGCACCCTCTGATAAGATTTTGGCTGGATTTTCATTTATTTTCTTTTCAGCAAGTGGAGGCAGCATACTGAGCGGAGATTTTTAATTGGCTTTAACACTGTGCTGAGAAGTGTTCCCATGGTGTTAATAATATGGGGAGTATTTTGCACTGAAATTACAATTCCGTCAAAATTAGGAACTCTGATAGCACTAGGAGAGAGATTTTGATCAACAATCCGATTTAATAGACACAAAAATGTGTGTTACAAAAAAATGGGGCAGTGCCAGCTGTATCTAGAAAGCAAGGAGTACGGTATAAAGATCAGTGATGCCCTCCATTATTTCCTCAGAAATCTCAGTAAACTCAGTATGTGCCAATATCAGTGTTTCCTATCATTTTTAGAAAAGAAAATTACTGTTTTCCTTATAGGCGAACTCCTAGAAAATGTGGGAGAGAAAGCTGTAAGAATAAGATTAGAGTAAGTCCAGGTTCAAATATATTTACCTGAACTTTTGTAACCCGGTCTGCTCTAGCACATGCCTCCTGATTTCTGAGAGCTGTTTCATCATTCTTGGAATATCAGAAATTGTTAGTGTTGGGGATAGCCCCTGTCACAGGGCCAGAGCGTGGGACTCGTTGTCACTGACATTCTGTGAAAACCTCAGATACGGGATCGTAGTGCCCGTCCTATCCCCCTGGATGGACAGAGCAGCTCCCTCCAGCAGCTGCCCGTGCTGGAAACACACGGCCAGGCCTTCCAGGGGGACCGGGAGAGCAATGGTTCCACGCTCGTAGAGACGGACAGGACAGCCAACGTGAGAAGTGGAAGGGACAGGAAAAGCCATCGAGAAAAGGGCAGAGATGCAAGAGAAGCAGGAACGAATGAGGACGCGCTGTGTCCTCAGGCAGCTATGAGCTGACACCCGAGTTCTCCATTTGGTCCTAGCTAGGGCAGGTACTAAGACCAAAACTTCTGAGAAACAAGAATAAATGCAGTCAGTGCTGCAGGAATTTCAACAGCCCTGAAATTTCAGTCTCATATATATGTGTGTGTGTGTAAATATATATCAAACAGCTATATCTGGAAGGGAACATCTCCTTAGGACAATATATTTTGGAAAAATCCTTGTTTATTCCTCCTCTTGCTTTTATTTGTGTTTACATGGTTCTGTTGTTACAGTTGGAGGAATGTCCCATCATTCTGCTCGTTGCCTTTCCTTAATATTTTTTGGATTCTTGATTTTAGATTTATTGTTATTTTCTACTCTGCTTTGTGGGAAAAGCCTAAGAAAAATGTCCAATTTGTTTTGCAGTTTTGTAAAACTGTTCTGAAATTTTTAAATGCTCATTGGCTGGCTGAGCCAGCTCATAGGAGGGTCTGATTTTTGTGCTCCTTTGGACCTATTGTTCTTTGTAATGTGAACTTTTTTTCTCTACAAAGTTGCCCCATTTTTGTCAATGGACCACAAGCCAAAATGGTAAACAGAAACTTGGGGTCTAGTAAGTGAAAAAATTCCATTATCACTGCAGAGATTATATGCGAAAAAAGATCATGACTTTTGGTCATAGAGTTAAAATGGCCAAACTCAGTGTGTCAGAGCAGTTTAAAACTGGAGTCTTTTGGGTTCCCTTTGACAATGCTATGCCATAACTTTGTTAATTTTCTCAGAAATGGCTCTGCCGTGGTTTCCTTGTGTCCTGTGTAAGAGCAAAGTTCAATACCGGCTAGTTGGTAGCTTATTTGCAGTGATGTGCTGTGGGTGAGTTACCTGCAGTTTTGGACCTTGGATATCTCGGGTAACTTACTGAAGGCACACCAGATTGCTGTGCTTTAACAGAAAACACAAACAGCACTGTTTTATATCTCAGACCCAGTTAACTGATTCTTGTAAAGTGCTTGAGATTATTTGGATAAAGATATTAATGCACAGTAAAATGATAGACATGTGAGTCAAAAAAAATAAATAAACCCTCACCACGTTCTCCCCCAGGACATATCACTTCTGATGAACAAAAACATTCTACTTCAGAAACTGGCACCAACTTCTCAAATGTTTAAAAATAGAAATAGCAATCTCTCTCTTTTGCCAGCTTGTGAAAGAAATACATTGATGAGCTTAGAGAATTTATTCAGTGGTATGTGCATGAGTGGGTGTGTTAAGTAGGGAATTTAATGAGGGGGAGCTAAGTATGAAGACAGGCTCTTGCATCTGTTTAGTTTGCAAGTGGAAAAGTCTGCAGATGTCTCTGTATCTTCTGATCTTCCGAGCTGGGACTCAGGCCTGTGGGAGTTTGATGCACAGAAGCCTCGTCTGCCTCACAGGGGCTAAATTACCAAGGAACAGATCAGTGAAAAAAAATCACTGATTGAAGCGACCGCAAGGAAATGTTGTTGATTGCCCCAATTTTTCAGGCACCCACGTGTACACTCTGAACGGCACTGACCCCGAAGGAGATCCCGTGACGTACGGCCTGACCTATGAAGCTGGATCAAGGCGCTACTTCTCTGTTGACAAGCACCTTGGAAACGTTACCCTGGTTGAGGAGCTTGACAGAGAGGTAGAGTACAAGGGAATGAAATGTCCTTGAGTCCTTAATTTGATCCATGATTTTGAGGAACAGTCAGCTTTTTTTTTTTTCCCCCCCTCAAACATACAATTTAATTTGCAGTTGGAGACATTATATTTCACCCATCACATTCTTTTCCAGTTCACTTGCACCACTGACTTTACTACTGAATTTTGAGCATCTGTATGTTCAGCATTTGCCAAAAGAGAAATTTACTCTGTATTTTTCCTCCCCACATACCACACTTCCCCCAGTCAAGAGCTTGTGGGCAATTACAGTTGTCTAAGAGGATTAAGTTGCTTTCGGAGCAACTATCTCTTGCCAATAGGGAGTCCAAGAAGCTCTGTAAAAGCCTGGTGTGGAGCCTGTGAAGGGGCTTCTTCACCTCTGCTGTGATGGTTTTGTGGTATTACCTTGTTGCATCCACTGAGACCTGTTTAAATCTGCAGATGCTGTTTGAATCAGCACAAATAACCAACTCTTTAACAAGGAAATTTTCTTGGTTTGCAGAAGGAAGATGAGATTGAAGTTATAGTCAGTATTTCAGATGGCCTGAGCACAGTAAGTATTTTCTGATGCCACAGCTTGTCGAATTGTCACCCCCTGCACCTCTCCCCCCATTAAACTTCTTTTTAGGGAATATCTCATTTTATCAGAACACATAGTCTCATTAGAGTCCCACCTTCTGCTTCAAGAGCCACTGAACTCCCAGTATTGCAGGTCTCATTCCAGCTCCCGGCTCATCTATTTGAGGATAATTAGAACTGCAGGGTGAGCTGAGAGCCTGGCTCAGTGGCCTACAAAATAACAACAGCTGCCTGTGACATTTCACTGTCCGCTCGGTAGGGTTCACACCTAAGAAAGAGCTGGAGGCTTTTCGAAGACATTATAGGGGCTGATGTTGGACACCCAAGCGCTGACGTCCTTCCCTGCCCTCCCGCAGTGTTTCTGCAGCACGGCATTAAGATGTGCTTATGCTAAGGTGGGGAGGTGGTGGGATTTTTCTTATCTGCTGTTGTATAAAGCTTTCATCACTCCTAATCATTCAGAGCTTATCTGGGGCACCACATTAGTGTCTGATCCGAGTTCTACATTTTTTTCCCCTGGCATTTGCCATTTACAAACAGATACAGTCAGGATATTAGTCTGCCAAGGGTACCTGGGCTTCATCTCTAGAGATGCCACAAAAGTGGAACACACTTACTAGCCACGAGACTAGATTAACTACAAAGCACTTCCTCGTGTCAAACAAATATAGTGAGATTACTACATTGAATGTTTGGGAAGTGGCCAGGTCTTACAGACCCAGCTGCCCTGGCAATCTCTGTAAATAAAAGAATTAATGAGATCACATCCACATCTCCACCTTGTAAACAGCTGTGAAGTTTTGCTGGTCAAAGACATTTGCTTCTGTATCTTTTTAGAGAACATACTTTATGTTGTTGTTGAATATTAATAGTGTGTGTTTGTACATCCGAATTATGCACACTATCAACATTGTGATATCAAATGAGGCATTAATGAACGCTTTTGGCAGTCAGTTATCAACCTGTACACAGTCATTTATGTACTCCCATAAAATATATCATGGTATCTTGACTGCCATAAAGAAAGCCACTTCTGAAAATCACCCCCTAATCTGTAATTTATAAAGTACTCTGAGAGTCCTTGTTTCGTTTAGAGACATCTCTGTGTTCTCCTTGAAATTGGCTCTTGCGGATGATAAGATTTTCTGCATTTTCTTTCTCACACTCAATTTTGGTAGTGCACAATTTTCTATTGCCTTTGAATACACTTCAGTAAGCAAATGGATGTTTGTATGTTGTAAATCACCTTGATTTTTAATGTGGTCTTCATATTCCACTTCAGGTTTCTGAAAAAGTCAGGATCCTTGTAACAGATGCTAATGATGAGAGCCCAGAGTTCATCAATACACCTTACATAGTCCAAGTCCCAGAGGTTGGTTATTTTTTTTTCGTATTCTAAAAGTGTATCTCAGTAGAGTTGTAAAGAGGAGAACTTGATGTTTTCAATAAAGCCACAAGATTTGCAGGATTACTTGCAGTCTTTCGTTGCAGAGTTTGGGGTAGGTATTGAACATGCAGTGAGCAGTTAGAGACCAAGTCTGGTGGGAAAGGGGTATTTTCTCTAGGTGTGCTGTTTCGTGGGTAAGCTCCAAGACATGATGCAGTGGAGTCTTTAGAATTGACTTTGGTGGGAATAGCATGCACTTTGTCCTCTTATTTGCATTCCAACCAGTTTGGGTGTTTTCTTCCATCTTGTTGTTGTTCTCCAGTTTACTCCATTTTAAGTCTTTCTCTTCTCTATTTTCTCTCTGCTTTTTGGTTCCCTCACTCATTTGTATTCTTTCTATCCTTACTCTCCTTTTCTTCCCACTTGCACATCCATTTTTCATTTCTTTCAACTCGCATTGCATTCCTGGTTCTTTCTGACTCTGGTAACTCTTTCTGGTTGCAGAACACCCCCTCAGGCAGCAGCATATTTAAGATTGAGGCAGTAGACAAAGACACAGGTTCTGGAGGAAGTATCACCTACTTCTTGCAGGTAAGGCATTACCCGTGCATTTAGGAGTAATCAAAACACCAGGTTTTGAGAATTAAGCCTGCTAGCAGTGTCTGTAGATTTTGCATGGTGCATGAGGGAACACGCTCTGGCCTCAATGACATTGACTGCAGTAGCTGAGCACAGTCCAGAAGGGAGAGGCTGGAATTACCACCAAGGTTCTGGATCACAGTGTGATACTGGGAATACCGGTTCTTCTCACCTCAGGACAAAGCTGTGCCTGCTTGGAACCAGCCTTTCAGGTGTAGCCTACTGGTGACAGGAGAGCTCTTCATCTTTAAAACTGAATTTTATCCTTATTTCAGACCTTCTGTATGCCAGAGTGCAGTGTTTTGCATCATGCCTTTTAAATTCCTCTTAAATTCCTCCTTCTTACAACCAGCTTCTCCAGATTTGCTGCAGTTTCTCTCATTGAAGAGGCAATAGAAAAAAAAATGCTAAACAAATTTGTTGTAATATTTACTTTGGTACAAAAATGGAAAAAAGCGACAAAATATTTATATAGCACTAAAACTAATCCTGTTATGAGCTTAGGCATACTATGAAAAATATCTTGAGTGCCTTGATGAAATTTAGTTTGTATTTGACCAATTATCCTTTCAAAATACAATGTGTAGAATGTGTACAAAGTTCAGTTTTGCACAGATTTTTTTTTCCCGGTAAGCCTCCAGAATATGAAGCTAGGGAACACTTATTTCCAACATCTATGTTAAGCTGATATGTTTGTGTAGCCAAAATGTTAGTTAATATGTGCATGTGTTGAAGAGATGTTGCCACATTTTTGGCACAGTCTCAGAGAATTTTTAAGGTGTACAGAAGAGTCTTGTGTGGGCAGGTAGTGGTGTCTACTCAAAAAGGCCAAGATTATCTGACAGAAACTATTGCATATACCTGCCCACGCTCAGATAAGTAAACAGATATCTCCAGTCAGGAAGAATGGAGATAAATATTTTTTGCCTCTTTCGGAAATAAGATATCTTTTAGGTCCTTCATCATAGACACCCAGAAAAGCCACTAAAATATCACTGTAAAAGTCTTTGACAATAATCTATGCAGGCAACACTACTGTGTTTTTAAAGCCAGTAGAAGTCGGAAGCGCTTAAGGATAACACCTTTTATCTTCTTCCTTTTTCTCCCATCATCTTTTTTCTGTTAAGTTGCACAATTTAATTCTATGCAATGATCTGTCTTGACCAAATTTTAAGATTTCACAATGAAATACTAAAAGATTAAAAAAATCTATATTGGAAGTTGGTGATTTATTTGAATAATGAGACACTTGTGATTGGTTCATGAATTGTTCATAAACACACAGAGGTGAAATTCATCAAATGCATTATTCACCCAAACCGAATCATTATTCCAGTCTTTTGCCTGAGCAGATGAACTAAAAGATGAATCCCTACAGCAATCTTATTTCCATACTTATAATCTTTCATTGCTTCTCCTCTCGTTTCTTCTAGAACATCCATGCTAATAAGTTTACAATAGACCGTCACAGTGGTGTTCTGCGCATCAAAACAGGGGTCACCCTGGACTATGAAAAATCAAGAACCCATTTTGTTGTCGTCGTAGCCAAGGTATCAAGCTTCTCTTTTGAAACGTGAGGAGAGGAAGGGTTGTATTCGAGTAGGACAGCATAGGTCAAATAGAAGGAGGGTGACCCACAGTGTTACTGAAATGAAGCCTGACTTTGGAGCAGGAGCAGCCTCTATCACGCATGGAGATACAGCAGGAAACACAGAAAAATAAGTGAGAAGAGGTAACCTGTGTCTCTCAGGAGAAAAAATGCTGCTGCTGTGTAATGTCTGGACATGTTCAGGGGCAGGTTTCCTACTTTTAGCCAGGCCTGGTGCTGGGATGTTGAGTCCCTCTGCAGAAATTCTCGTGCGTGTGGCAAGAAGGGAAGGATGGTTTATGCAGCCTCACCTTTTGGAAGCATCAGTCTCAAAACACGAATGCAGGAGCCCAGGGCTCCCCACGCTGTTGCAGGGTGGCCGGGTCAGTCATGGCAAACGGCTGGCGGCAGCTTGGGTCGATAGCAGCGGTCAGCAGCAGCCACACGGCCAGGGCTGTAGCACCCATTTTTTGGATACGTCTGTGGGTGTTTCTTTCCTTCACTTCTCTGCCTGCCTTGTGGCAGGAACTTACTCAAATCGTTTGAATATTGCTGAACATTGCTCCTTGCCACTGTCACCCTCAGCAGTGCTGAGGATTCGTAACAGGCTTTAAAAGTTTATGGATTCTGGAATAAAGTCTCTCGGGATGCTCTGGGGGCCTGTCACACAGGCAGACACATGCAATGGAAAGAGGACGATTTTGCTGATCTTTATGCTGCCTTTCTGGGTTTCTTGTGTTTTAGGAAAAGTGTGTAGATCATTTTATGTATTTATTTAGCCAGGTTTCATCTGAGAAGGAGCAGCAAAATGTGAATTAGTGCTGTTTGCTACAGTAAGGATGAAAAACCCGAGCATGTCTCTTCAAAAAGATGGGTTTTTTTTTTAGAATTGCTACAGTAGACACGCTAAACAATTCATGTTCTCTCATATAGCAGCATAACTACTGACCTTCAGCCAGAAACTGATGATGTTAAAAGCTTCTGAAATTGTGAATCATCTCTCCAACTGGCCCTGCTGTATCAGTAGCATGAACAGATTTGATTGTCGTAAAGTCCCAAGAGACTGTTTATACACTGTGATTACCTAACAGCTTCTGGCTTTGTGCTCCTCCTTGCTTTCACTTACATCATGGAAGAGTCCCTAGGAGACTCTGATAACATGCACTGTATAATTTTCCCCTGGAAATGCATTGCCTTGTTGCTGCATATCATCCTGATGTCCTTGTGGCAGGCAAGACTGTATGGGGCATGGAGGGATACTCGTGGGACTTTGTAGCTAACTTTTTGCATCTGCTTCTAGCAATCTTTCCTGAAAAAAAAAAAAAAAACTTGAATCCCCTGTCCCGTATGTCATTGATACGTGCAGTTATATATAAACCTATATCAGTACAGCCAGTTTTAATGTAAGAAATGACTCTTGAGATATTGAGGGCCTTCTGCTTAATCAGAAAGGGATTAATGGTAATAGAAGGACTAATGGAAAAGAGAAGGAATAGGACAGTAGAGATTAATATGTGTTGAGAGAGATAAGTAATTCCTGGATGGTGGCTGCGAAGGCTTAAGAAATGTGTTCAAGGCTGGTAAGAGATTTGGACACTTGCTTCAGCAGAGGTATCTGATGATGACTTCTCTTCTAGGACGGTGGTGGGAAGCTCAGGGGAGACAACAAAGTGTTTTCAGCCACAACAACAATTACTGTCAATGTGGACGATGTTCAGGACACTCCTCCCATGTTCATCGGGACTCCCTACTATGGATATGTTTATGAAGATACCCTCGCAGTAAGTGCTGGTTTTCACCTGTGGGAGAACATGTGCAGTCTTTTGTATGTTGGTCACAAGCCACAGTTTATGGCGACCGCCTTATTAATAAAGGAATGGGACCAAAACTCTGACTTTGACTGCTAGGAGAAATGAGCTAGGCAAATTCTTACTTATGTCCTTTGCAAATTCACAATGGAAGTCTTGCTGCTGCTGTCATTAAAGACAAAAAAAAAATCGTTTTGCCCCTCCATATTACTTTAGACCCAGACAATGACTAAGAGCTCTTAGTTGCTGACACCTGGGAGCTTAAACAGATTACCAGCTACCTCACCTGAACACATCTTGTTATAAGACTGTGTGTATGCCTGTGTATCAGCCCATGCCCTTGTTATAAGACTGTGTGTATGCCTGTAGTATGTGGGCTGATAGTACTTTAGTTTCCTTGCTTATGAGTTATGCAAGGTATGAGTCAAAGAAGAGTTCCTGGTTTCTGTCCTGTTGCTCAAATGCTGTAGACTCCGTGTGTCGTCCCCTTAGAAGCATTTGGGGAGTTGCAGTCCTGCCATCCCCATAACAAAGGATGTGTTCTGCTCCGTGATGGCTAGATAGACCAAAGGGGCCAACAAGTCCTCCCAGGCCAAAAACTCAACAGGGTGTCAAGCCACACATGTGTGAGTGGGGACAGTGAATCTGTCTGCATGTGTCTGCTGCTGAAGCTTGAACATTTCTGTCACAGACAAAGAATCCAAATAGGACACTGAGGTCCTGGCTTTGCCACTCTCTAGAAGCTCCTAGTGGGAGATTTGCTCCAAGAGCTTAGCAAACAGTTTATCATGTGGCTTCCAGCAACATAGAATTTGTGATGCTGCAAAGCAAAGAATTTCCCGTATATCCAACCAGCATTCACCCTATTACATAAGATTTAACTAAGAATTTCTTCATAGGTAGGATAAGCATTAATACCTATTTATAAAACTATCCAACCTTAAAATATTGATCTTTCTGCACATGTAACTGCATGCTGGTTACCTGAACTCTCAAGTTTCAGGAAAGATTGTGGCTTTACTTTCTGTTCATAATCCCCATGTATTCTGCAGCTCTTGCCTAACAGTACATTGCAGTTCCATGCATAGATGGCTACTTTTCAGCATGGCAGAGCAGTGATGCTTCATTACTCTGCAGATGTTTGCAATTAACATTATTATGTGTATTGATTTACTCTGCGTAGTTACATATAGATCTCAGAATAACCATCCAGTGTGCATAGGACTTAGTATTTGCCAAGAAAATCAGGAGTCAGTAAATACTTGTACTGTTAGGATATTATAGTGGTGGGAGCACAAGCCAAGGTCTGGTTCAGAGACTTCGCTGCTGCTGGCAAGAGAGAGGAGGTCTTGCAAGACAAGCCTGAAGAAAAGGGAATTGTCTGTTTCTTTCCTGAGAAAAGAGAAATCCAACTGTTAAGTGAACAAAACACCTATCTGAAGATAGGAGAAATAGTAGTGGCATTTTTAGATAGGATTTAGAGAGGTCCTTGACCCAGACTGCTGGGCTTTGGGTGGAAATCTCTGTTCACCTCCGCGTATTGTAAATGCTTTTGTCTTGGCAGCGAACCAAGCTAAACCTCAGGTCACAGATTAGTTTCTCTCAATCCTCTCTCCACATCCCCGGCTCGCCCTGCGTTTCTGGCCGTCCTCAGGAAGGGACAAACTGCAGAGCAGCACAGCTCAGCTGTGCTAGCAGGCAAAGGCTGTGCCTGGTGCATGTGGCAGCAGCAACATTCTTGCTTTGAAAGGAGTTACAGCACGTGGGCTGCAGCATTGCCGAGAGCAACCAAAGCTAGCAGTGTAGGGATGGCACAGCACGGACCCAAGGAGCAGCCGCGAGTGATTCGTGAGCACAGCACCCTGCTGTGTGCCAGCTCCTTGTTAGGACACCTCCTGCGTTGGTCAGGCCAGGGTCTGACTTGGTGCTGCGGGGCCACTGCGTAAAGCCAGGAAAAAATCACTGAGGAATGTTAGAAAAAAAACTCCAGCAAGGCCAGGAGAGCCCCATTCCTGTCTCCCAAGGTGGCCATGGGCAACAGGGACTTCTCTGATTTAATTGCCAGGTAAACAGCCTGTTTCCCTGGCAGGAATTGTCTAATCATCAATTCTGCGTCCCAGTGAGATGTAACAGAGCATATAGGTACAGACAGCTTCTGTGTACATAGTATGATGCTGTTAGCCTGAGCCCCCTGCCACAGCTGCAGAAAATAGCTCAGCACCAGAACAGAAGTCTGACGGAGAGAAAGAGGAAAGCGGAGGCCAGAAGGCACCAGACCCTCCTTGCTTGGAGTGTGTCCAGCTTCAGCAGCCAAACCACCTGCTTCGCAAAGCCCAGCACTGGTTTTTCTGGCTGAGAGTCAAGGACTTTTGCAGTGTTTCCCTTCAGCCAGAACAGAGGTACCCACTCTTCCCCCCATACCTCACCAAAGAAAGACTTTCTGAAGCTAAATTTATTAATACGCAGTGGCAATTTCATTGCTCTTTGGTCTTACTCACAGACTGTAATTCCCCATTTCTCCCCAGGGCTCCGAGGTACTTACTGTTGTTGCTCTTGATGGAGACAGAGGAAAGCCTAACAGCATTCATTACAGCATCGTGAATGGTGAGTAGACTTGGCTTGCCTGAAATCTGAGGGGTAGTCAAAAGTAGATGTGACATTAAATTAGGATGGAATGTACTAGAGTTTAATAAAGCTGAGGCAAACTCTCATGAAATAGTGTCAGGTGCCTGAAACAACTCCAGGGCCCTGTCTACCAGAAAACAGTCAAGATACGATTCACTGCGTTTTAGTATCTGCTTCATAGAGGTATGCTATTCATCTTGGAATTGTTAATGTTGCTTATTTGTTAAGCATCAGTAGCCTGCTTGTCATTTTAGAAAATGTAAAAGGAGATGCATTCACTGTCACCAAGTGTCTCTATCATTTAATTTAAAAACGAGACTGCATTTAGAGACCAGACACGGTATTTAGAGGGATATTTTTATTAATATTGTGGCTAAAGTGACTAAATGGTCAAACTTTCGGTTTCTTGGAAGTAATGATATTTATCAGTGAAGAGAAACTGCTTGTCCACTGCACTAGGAGAAAATAATTGTTTAACAATAAGAAGATTAATATTTTCCATCAGCTATTCTGATGCTGTCTTTAGCACATCTTTTAATAGCATAAACGTGAGGCTTAAATTGATGTGTCATAAACCAGTGAAGTGAACAACTTAGTTCAAGCTGTAACTTTGAGTTTGGCACTTTTATGTGGTTCTCCCTTTTTCCAAAACAAATTCTAGAGGCAACCCTAACTCCCAAATAAGAGAGTCTAAAATTCAGTAAGAGAAAACTGAGGTTTAGTTGCAGAGCTTTGCAGGAAGTTCTTCACTGCTACCTCGTCTAAACAGCAAGGTCTGGAGAGGATGGAGGAGGTTATCGCTCGGGTTTTTCCTTTGGTTGGGATGGGATGCATGCTAAGGTTCCTTCTCCCCTGCTGCAGGGAAGGTAGAGGGTAAAAGAAAGAAGAGGGTAAAAAGAAGGCAGAAACGTTGAGGAAGAAAAGGTTGCAGAAGAGTAAATGGAAAAAAAGAACAGATGGAAGAATGATGGAGAATGAAAAGTAGAAACTAAAATGTGGGGGTAGAAGATGGTAGATAAGGAAGGAAATTGAGGAAGAGAATAAGTGGAGGCAAATGAAATAGGGACAATGTCAAAGATAACTAGAATTAATGAGAAAGAGGGTAAATTTCCAAAGAAAATAGAGGTGGAACAGAAAAGGGCTATGGGGAAGGGGTTTGGGAAGAGCGAGGTAAGGAAAGGGATGATAGAATGGTATAAAATGTGACTTCTTGGGAGTGGGTTTTCTGTGTGCGCGTTAACGCGGATCCTGGTAGCAGGAAACGGAAGTGAAAAGAAGAGAAGGTGAATGTGCTTTAGTAAACAGTGTTGAAGAAAGAGGGAAGAATCAAATCAAGAAGAGACGACTGTGGCAGATTTCTGCCCCGGCTCTGCAGACCCTTACTCATGTCAAACGCTTATGTCAATACCTGCAGGCTGGGCAGCAAAGGGCAAGAAAATGCTAATAACAAATAGGGAAGTACTTACTCTTTATAAGCAGTTTTGATGCTGGGAAGTACGGGATTGTTTGAGAAAATACTCTGATCCTCTGAACATGCTGTCCTAGGGAAGACGTATAATGCTACATACTCCAATTACCAATTTCCAATTGTGAGTTACCAATTTCCAATTGTGAATTACCAATTACCAATTCCAATTGTGAGTTACCAATTTCTGTGTGGTAATTAGACAAAAACATGAAGCATTGTTGCTTGAAACCACTATTGACTTCAGCTTTTTCCTTAGTCAGGAGGTACTTTCCAGGCCAATGTATCTTAATAATTGACTACCACATGAGTCAATACCTATTCCACATTGTGTCTAGTGTCCTTTAATGAAGTTGCAGTTAGTGCAGATATTAGCAAAAGGGGTCAATGCTGGGCGGTTTAATAATAAGCACTGAAGTTGAGATAGAGGAAAAAGTGTCAGGGCTTTCATGCCATCACATTTTATTTCTGACAGACCGTTCTCCTGCGTTTTAGGGGCTCCCCATCCTTTCTCCCACTTCAGCAGCAGGCCGTGCAGCACGCGTAGGCCGTGGGGGTCTCCGAGCCAAGGCCTTGTGCCCGTGCAGATCCCGGCGCTCCCAGGGCACCGGGAGCTGCTGCGGCCCATGGCAGGAGGGTCCGGCATCGTGCTGGGACACTGCTGGCCCTCGCTGCATCCCGCACGGATTCTGGCAGTTGGGCAGGGGGACACGTGTCAGCAGACAGCCCTGCCATGCATGAGGCAGGGCTCTCACCCCAGATCCTCCAAAGCCCCTTCCCACTCAGAGCAGCCTAGCAGGAGGCCAAGAGTTTATTAACAACTGAACTTCCAAGGCCTCCAGAGGGGCTGCCTGCAGAAAGAGTGATTATGTTTCTTTTAAGTAGACGTCAGGCTTCTCACCTTAGCTGTTATTAGTGAGAAAAATGTTCCTGTTTTCTCAGAGACTTAATTAGGCATTTGCTAATTAAAATGAAGAGTGACTGTTTTTACCTGAAACAGTGCATAAAGAAGACAGCATAATGGAAATGAGTACCAAGTTTGCACGCCCAGCCTCAAAAGTATAAGGGCATGGGGCTGTGGTGGGGAAGAGGAAAACAAGGGCAGCTCTCAGCAGGTCAGGGCTCCCCCAAACCACAACCTGGGGAGGAAATTCCACTTTCCCTTCCTTTGCACATTCAGCATACCGTGACGAAGCAGGGAAGCACCTCGTTCTTGAAAAACGGCTGCAGATCTGCATGTGGATATGGAGATGTATATAGACATAGATGTGTGTAATGAAGTGTATGTCTGATTGCTCGTGCCTTTTCAGGACACGGGGAAAGGCATGTAATGGGAGCATCTTGGTTTTATTGCAGGAAGTGAAGGTTCGTTTGAAATCAGCAACACAACTGGAGCTGTTTCTGTTATAAAAAGCCCAAATCAGCTTAAGAAAGAAGTCTATGAACTAAAAGTTCAGGTATGTTTTATGGCCACTTGAAAGCTGATGTTCTTAAATACCATGAGTAGTCATTATTGTCTAAAATAACTTAATCTATGGCACCCTTTATTAAAGAGTTACCTCATATATTTGATCAGCCTGCCAACCAGTATAAGTTTGATCAGTATGCCAACTAGTGTAAGTCAGAGCAAGCTGCTTTTGTTTTCTTGGATATTTGTAATGTCTCCATTTTCTTCTTACAAATGAAGTTGTCTTGTCATAATTTGATCCCTGAGTCTAGAGAATTATTATCCTGTCCATCTCTGAATGTGCTCTGTATTTTAAAATGTTGTTGATAGACGAGGAATCAATGATTCCTAGTTTCTACATACTGAGATAGGTGAGTATTAAATTTGAGTCCCAACAAGCTTGGGGTAGATCATGCTATTGTATTAACATCCACCCTGAAAACATAGATCAACCACATAAAAAGACATGCTTACACTTTGATGAGTTAATAGTGCTACATTATTTTAAGAAGGTTCTAAAGGCCAAGAGTTCAAAAAGCAAAGTTAAATAGTGAAAATTATATTTGTTTTCCTCAGGCAAAAGCACATTACAACCATGTCAATTTGCCCAGGAAAGCCTCAGTAGTCTAAAGACAGTTTTGTGGCCTGGCCCACTGCTAGAGGCAGTGTAGCATCCCCAGGGTACTTGTTTGCTGGTGTGCTTGAGTAGGATGTTGAACTGGAGGATCATAAGGTCTGACTTGGGCACTGTTTCTTTCTCTAATCTCTCAGGTTTCCAACAGCCTGCTAGTGCTTCACGGGTACAGGATTAATTGGGCTCTGCTGACATCTGAGTACAGCTGCGGCAACCCAACACTCAGTGCAGGCTACCAAACCTGCCCGAGGAATCAAGTGGGTGTTGTACCACCCAGCATGGGTCCCAACAGGTGCCGCAGCTGCAGGGCCGAGTTTGGCACTGCTGAAAAAAAAAGGGGGGCTCATCCAGAGATATTTAGGTGTCAGTTGTCTTTGGTTTTGAGCACTTCAAGCACAAAGGCTTCGGTTATGAACAACTGCTACAAACACAAATCAGAGTTTCTGTCCTGATGGAAAAAGGATCTTAGGTTCAATCCAGAGAACCAGGTTGTATGTTGGGATGGTTGAAAATCAGGCAGATTTAATTGTTATTTTACAGTATTGGAATTATGTGGAGAGAACTGTTTTCACGCTCAGGTTGAAGTACTGAGCTCATAAAAATCAGGAGAGCTTTCTTATCAGAGCTCTTTGTTGGAACTTTTTATTACCATAATCTTCTAATCATCGTAAACACAGAGGGTAAATGGACTGAGTTTTCTAGACCGGTGTAAGACTGTGTGTCTTTGTGTACAAAGTTGGTGGGTTAGGTTGATTAGAACAATACCTGGACATGGAATTGAAGGAAGATCAAAGTAAGAATAGAAATTCTTTCATTGTTTTTCTCTCTCTCTTCTTTCCTCCACAGGCATCAGAAGTCAGTCAAGAAGGTGACATCTCAGTGTATGCTTTTGCCACCGTGACTATACGGGTGGTCGACCTCAACAACCATCCACCGACGTTCTATGGAGAAAATGGTCCCCAGAACCGATTTGAACTGACCATGTATGAGCATCCCCCAGAGGGAGAAATCTTGAGGGGACTGAAGATTACAGTCAATGATTCAGATCAGGTAAGTGAAAACTATGGGGGGACTTTCAGTTTTCTGACCTATTTTCTCCAAAGACAGGAAGCAGCTGCCAGATTGGCAAATGGCATTTTAGGAGTCCAACCATTTCACCTGCTTTCCTGAACGGCCAACAGAGTAGGTAGTTGTGAGGTCCATTACCATGGATAGTATGAACTCAGAAGCATAGTTAGCCAGGCACATGCTATTGTTGCATTGTGGCATGATTGCCACAAGAAGAGTGGTCTTAAACCTGCAGTTCAGGTCTTGTGGCCACTAAAGTTCAGGAATCCTTATCTACCTCTGCTTTCTGTTGGCTCTGTTCAATAGTTGTCAATGTAGTGACTGAAAACTTACTGTCTTTGAACATTTATTTAGGTCTTCCAAATACTTTAGTAACGTAAAGTGCAGTTGCTGTCTGTATCTCCTTGGACCCCTCTGGAAAAAATATAGTTTGTACCCTAACATTGTCTTTATTACAAGATACTATCCTTCTGGCCCTTATTTTAGAACCAGAGTATGCAGTGCATGCTTTGATAAATAATTCCCTCAGGAGTGATATTTTTAAGTAATCTTAAAATTATACTGGAGGAGAACTAACTATAACCAGATAAAAGAATAGAGGACTCTATTCATCTCAGCTTGCTACCTAACTGACCTGTGATGCCCGTAGATACTATGGTGATGGTTGCTATAGGGATCCCTAGGCTAAATACTGTATGAATGGCATCCATCTGAGTTAGCCTGAGGTTAGGGAGCGACAAGAGAAAGCTTAATGCATCTGAGAACTGTATTACTATTGGGAAGAGTGCTCTTATATAACCATGCTCAACACTGTGCTGTTTTGACAGTATTGTATTCTATCAAACCCACCAGCTTCTTCCCCCTCCCTCCTGCCGCTCTGCAGCAAGCAGATAGATGACTGCTTTCAAAGCAGGGCTCTGTCTATCCCACTGTTGTCACAGAGGCTGTTGCTGCAAAAGGAAAGAAACAAAACCCATCTTTCCTGGCTTGTCTTCCATTTAGAGACAAAATGTATGTTTAATATATAGGCTGACAAAATATTCAGGCTGCAAATTAGGCAGTGAAATAAGCAGAAAACACAGCTGAATATTCTGCATAGATTTCTAAAGAAGCTGCCTAATACAGCAGCACTCATCACTGTGGGGAAATTGGGTTGGTTAAGGTATAGAAAGCTGTGGTTCCATCAGCAGTGTGTGCTGATTGCCCGCGTGGAGCCATGCGCGTGGCTTGCTCTGCACGGCTCTGCGTTGGGCCGCGTCCCCGGCAGCCTTGGGCTGGGGGGCTCTGCCCACAGCAGTGCCACTGTCCTGGCAGCCACGCACAGGGCCCAGGAGGGGTCTGCTCAGAGGGTCTTCCCCATCAGCGCTGTCCTCCAGCAGCGCTGGCGTTACTTGTGTGCTCGGCTTTACTGCCTTGCAAAAGGAGCCTGTCGTCCCCTCTTTAGCTGTGAGGTTTCTCTTTCCAAGCAGCCTAAACCTCTGAGCATCCCAGATCATTCGGGTTCCCCTGGGTGACTGCAGCTGAATGCTTTTCCTTTTGATGTGGGCTAGGGTAGAACAAGAACTGCACATTACAAGGCCTGAAGGGATGTAGCTGAAAGCAAAAGTTACCCTGTCTGAAATTCTAGAAATTCTTCATAAATTCTAGAAATCTTCATTCCTCCAAGAGGAGGACGGGGCATCGACCAGTCAGTGAATGGGGCTGGTTGTCACAGGTCAACTGTGACACTGGGAATGGGTGAATGGAGAGAGCTGATCGGGAAGGATCAGCACATGTTCCCTCCTCCCCTGTAAGATAACCCCCATTTTGCCCTTTCCCTTCCAGCTCCACTATGGTTTAAAAAAAAATTGCCTGGCCTTCTGGCTGTAGCTTGCTATTTCTGGCTCACACACAGACAGTGTTAACTTTCCAGGTACAGCTGTTTCCTGCTCTGCCGTCACTGGAAGGTTTGTCTGTATGATGGGATCTGGCTTCCCAGAGCTCTCTGATGTGTGTGTGTCTCATTATAATTTGCACGGGCGAAGCTCTGCTCTCCTCCCGGGTTTATGAACTTCCATAGGTTTTAGTGGCTGTAACTGTGGGCTAACGAATCCGGTCAGTGCAAACCGTCGAGGATCATCTCAGCACTGACCCTGCACCTCGTGTTGGCTCCAGGCCAGCAGCTGCAGGCCCCGGCTGCGCTTCCGAGCGGGCCGTCATCTTGGCTGTGGCAATTCCGCCGTCTTTGCTTGGCGGAGATGAGGAGGAGGCCGGTGGGAGGCGTGTGCTGAGGTGCGTGTTGTGGGTGTTCTGCTGCCACCAGCCCTGCAGCGTGAGGCGGGAAGCCCAAGCCCCTTGCCACAGCGGTCGGTCTGTTAGCCAGAGCTGCTGCAGGCCTCTTCGTTATGACTGAAAGAATAACCAAGCTTGTCGGCCTATTTTAAGAAAAGCCATGTCTGTCTTGTGACCAGAGCCGGAGAGATTATATAACTAAGCTTCTTAGCACTCTCTTAGTCAGGGGGTGGAGAATGGAGGGCTTTCAGCAGAAAGACTCACATTTTATGCAGCCTGAAGAAATAGAGCCTGTGTAAGCTGTAAGCAATGCAATGATCACTTTTAAACAAGACAGTATCTGCTTTTCCTTGCAGGGAGCCAATGCTAAATTCAACCTCCGTCTTGTTGGACCTGGTGGCATCTTCCGAGTTGTTCCCCAAACTGTCCTGAATGAAGCTCAGGTTACAGTAATAGTGGAAAATTCTGCTGCTATTGACTATGAAAAATTCAAGGTGTTAACCTTCAAGGTACTTCTGCTTTCCATTTCCTCTATGGCTATGTATATAATATGTGTATGATGGCTCATGTATACGATGGCGTTTGGCTTTGCAGTGCACCTGGAGCTGCCTCATATATTGTTAGTGACATTATATTCCATGTAAGTGAAACTCATTTCTCCCCCTGCTTCAGCAACTTCCAAAAGGTTTAATGGATGCATCTGTGGGCTGATTTAGTCCAGTCAGTGCAAACTGTTGAGTATTATCTCTGTGTGGAAATTGCATATCTTGGTGGCTCTGAATCATTTTATACTAAACCCTAGGGATGTTATTTCTGCTCTATGATGATAAATTCATGGGATGAAATCCTAACTTCTCTGGAGCCACGAATGTAGCTGCTTAGTCCTAAGTAATTTGGTCCACGATCACGCATTTGAATTTTAGTTGGCTGAAGACACTAGCTGACTGGGAGATGATTTCCCAAAATTGTTCACTGCATTTGTCAGGTGTGTCTCTCTGACCCTTTCCAGACTGATCGGAGGCCACTTTACCCATGCCGCAAGCCAGCTATACAAAAAACAGCTTTTGTCCAAAATCTGGGAACTTGCATTAGCAACTTCCCTGTTGGCTTCATTGGCTCATCAACATGGTAACATAATTACGTAGTTTCTGGTTTGTGTCAGCCTCTGAATATGAGAAGAGAAAGCTCCATTCTGACTGCAAAGAATAGTGTAGACAATGCCTGTGGTCATGGAAAAGACTGTCAAAACTATATAGCTAAGTACTAACATGTGCTAATTTTGATTTTGTACAAAAAGTGGTTTTTCTCTAGAATACAAAAACCAGACTTCCTGAGTTTTGTTGTCACTCTTGCCAAATGGTTTGCTTTGTGTCCTTAGCAAGTCATTTCACTGCGATATGCCTGGTGTCTCCTCTTGCAATGTTTATCAGTCAGGTTGAGCTTCACAGGTTATAGATGCTACAAAAATATAACGCATCATTATTGTATTAAAATGGAAGATTCAGAAAGGGCTATAAAGTGCTACCAAAACTAATTATAATAAGTGCACATTTACTCAGCTTGAACTATCAAAAGACCACTAAAGAAGTTACACATGGCCTCCTCATGAATACTAATAGAAATTAAGGTGGTTAATGTCATTGCCAGGAACACTGAAAGAATTAATTACCACACAAAAAAAGATTTTTTTTTTTAACTTTAAGCAGTTACTCTTTTTTAATGAAATTATTTCTACAGAAGAAAGACTATAAAGACTTTGCTAGAAATGCAGAGACTTTGTCTACATTTAAAAATGCAGAAGGTGCAGTTAGGTGATAGGGCACTAATATATGGCAGCAAATACTTTATAAAGACCTAATTTCCTTCTCCATTTCCCTGCTAAGTTCATCCCACTTACTGCCATGTTTTAGTTGCCCAAGTAATCCTTCTAGCTGGAATTTTGGGTGAAATATGTTCTTGTTTCTATTTAACACATATCCCACAGCAGCTGTGAGGAGCTCTCTGTTTCTGTAAGCAGTGCTCCTTCCTCTCTGCCTTCTTATGGACCAGTGACAAGGCCAGGGAGGAATTAAGCTACTGAGAAGAGGTCGAGATGATGGCTAACTGAGAAAATCTGTCCTCCAGTTACAGCTTGCCTTTAAATGCAGCTGATAGCCAGGGCCACCTCCTTCTGAGCCAGCCAGGAGCTTGAGCTGCTGTTCCTGGGTGAGGCCTCCTGGAGCAAAAACAGTGGTCAAGGCTCTGCCATGGGGGCCACCTGTTGCTGTCCTGGGGACCAAACCTCTCCTCTCCTTGTGTCGTCTCTCCTTGGCCGTGGCTGCTGGCAGCTCTTACCAACCAGACCCAAATGATGACCACCCTCTAGGATAGCCAAAGGTGGGGGCTGATTCCATCAGCAAAGCATTGTTTCACCACAGGCACTGTGATTTATTTTTAAATGCACATACATGTTAAGCAATCAAGATTTTATCTGTGTGCTGCTTTAGGAGCTGAGATTGCTCATGAGGGGTTTTTTTGGTGATGCGGGTATGACTGAACCTTTAAAAATTTATTTTGGTGCAACACCCTTATAGACTCCCAAGCACAGTAGTTACCGAAGGGATATAATAACTAAACTCCCCCTTTAGGACAGATACACTCTATGTAATCCCAAACAATCCTTACAACTGAATTTCCCCAAGATCCTTTCACAGTTTATTTCCAATGTTTTTAAATGTTTACATGACTTCCGTGGTAAATTATCAAACATGCTCAGGCCAGTTTCCAGGCAAGCTGCCTGCAGGGAGTGGGTCTTTGCAGGATTTGTCATATCCTCTCTGAGCTGTGCTGGTTACTTGTGACTGGTCACAGCTGTCGTGTAAAGCCTGAGATGTCTGCACAGGTTTGAAAGCTTCTTTAACAGATTGATTGCCACTTGCAAGCATGCACAAACAGGCCTGTGTTGCTCACACATGTAGCTCGTGTGCTCCCAGTTTCTGGCTTCTCTGATCGAACCAGGCTAAAATGCATTGAAGCTTCTTTAAGAGGTAGCAGTAGCTACTTTGTAATAATAAATTCTCTCTATATTCTCCTTGTAGCTCCTGGCGATAGAGGTGAACACACCTGAGAAATTCAGCTCAACAGCTGACGTAGCAATACGCTTGCTGGACACCAATGACAACGTGCCCAAGTTCTCCTCTGACTACTACATCGCCAGGATCCCGGAGAACTCCCCCGGGGGCTCCAACGTGGTCGCTGTAACAGTAAGTTTTACTTAACCCTTAAGAGATTCATCTGTCTTGACCAACTATTTGTTGAGGCAGTCAAATAGGAATACTAACGAGTACCTTAAAAATAGCTGACAGGGGCAGCTGGCAAATCCTATTCCTGGTTCAACTTTTGGACTAAGCTCCAACTTCCAGAATCAACACCACCACCAAAGAGTTCTAATAAAGTCTTATTTAAATATTTTTCAGAAAAACAATTTTATATCAGTTTTTTAATCAAACGACATCTGCTTTTAAGACAAATCACATGGTCAGTGAGTACTAGGAAAGCCCCAGTCAAATTAGCATCTAGCAGGAGGATCAGCTGTGACTAAGTGGAAGTAGATTTACTGGATTTGCTTGCTTAAGTATGGGTAAAAAGAAAACAAAATGGCTGCTTAGTAGCATATAAGCCATCTCCTCCTGGGAGGAACCAGGCTGCTAAATGCATAATTAGACAGTTAATGAAGGCAAGAATATAACATTAAAAGTCTCTGTGTAAAGATCTTCTCACAGTGGGGAGAATATGCTTATATATTTTCTAGTGTCTCCTAGTCCTTGTCCTAAGAAGAAAGTGAGGGCAATATGCAGGCTGCGGAAGCATTTCTGGTCATTATACCCAAGCTGGGCCTGTTTAATACAGCAGTTGGGCCTGGACACTGATCTCATATCCCAAAGTCAAGAAATCTCCAAGCCAGGTGGGAATCGGTGGGGACACAAGTCACCTTGCCAAGGCCACAGCTACAGGTGAGGGAGGCCAGCTGCAATTCACAAAGAAAAGGAAATGACCAGAAATAAGGGCAAGTTGTAAGAATAGAAGAATGAATGAAGAAGGGAAGCAAAAACAAGACAAAGAAAAAGGAATATCAGAGGAAACCAAAAGGAAGGCTGTAGAAAACAGACACTCCCAAATACCACTATCTGTGCAGGAAGGGGAAGAAAAAAATGTAGAAGGTGGCCAGCAAAAGTAGTAGAAATTTTTAAAAGTTACCGAAGCTGCAAAACTTAGCCAAGATGAAGAGTCCATGTAGAAGTCATCATGTGGTACTGACTCACTGCTTGACCCCTATTCCCAAAGAGGGGTACTCCAGGATCACTATTCTGGCAGGAGGCCCAGATGAGCAAGATGTTTTAGGCAAAGTTAGGCATTTTAAGAAAAACAGACTGCAGTCAAAATCAAGGGGTGAGGGAAGCTGCTCAGCTCGTATTGAAGAATGGAAAGCACATGTCAGCAGGACTGCAGGTGTGTTACGTTAGCCATGATTTGCAAATCAAAAATACTGCTCTCGTACTCAAATACTCAAATGGGAAGAGGAATGGGCTGCTGTGAGTTTTGATGGCTGAGTACAAAGCAATAATATAACGTTGTTTCAGACATATGTAACACCTCCAAGAAGAGGGGCCTTAACAGAAATAGCTGTCACCAAATCAGTAGTTTTGCTAATCCCAAGGTAAGGGAGGAAACCAAGAAGAGTTCAGAACAAAGATAACAGCCAAGATAATAATGCAGATACTAAAAGTCCCACAGGCACAGGAGAGATTAAACATAAGCACTGCTAAAATATTATGAATATAATGAAATAATTGCCATGCATTAATTTCAATTAGATCAATTAAACAAGTAGAGACTTAGAAAAAATCTCCTATTTAAAGTAAATAATTTTGACCAGGGAGTATACATTAATATTAAACTAATAACAAGGGAGACTAGAGTAAACGGGTAGTTTGCATCATTGAAATGGGCTTGGTTTCTAGTAAAAGATCTGTTAAATGTCAATATATGGAGCCATCTAGTGGCTTTTTTCTTGCTTCAGCCTCCAGGCACCAGCCTGGCAGTGAGACAGGAATCTTAGTAGCTTTCTTGGGACACCCAGTGGCATTTATTTGTGTTAGATTTTGCAGTTTCATATGTGCATGTATGTTTGTGTGATTTCCTCCTAAAAACATTATGGTAAAAGGAGGGAAAGCGTTTGGATTTTGAAGTAGCCTGTTGAAAGAAATATGAATATACTTCTTTTTGCAATTTATTGAATAATGACCCTATTACTTTCTTAAGGCTACAGATCCAGATTCAGGACTCTGGGGAGAAGTCAAGTATTCTATCTATGGAACAGGAGCAGATTTGTAAGTAATTTTTTTTAAAAAAAACAAACACACACACACACCCCACCGCCAAAAAATCCCCGATAACTATATTAGAAAAGAGTTTTAAAAGTGGAAAAGAAAAAAAAAGAGAAAGAACAGGCAGAATAGAACAGATGATGTCTTGACCTGCTCATTTCCAAGGACATTTATGCCAGGTCCTTTATGAGTTCTGTGAAAGCAACAACAGAAGAACTAGTGCAATCATTAAACATCTGCTTCATGAATCCATGGAGTTTTACCCACAGACTATTCCCCTCCCACAAAGAGACATAAGGCAGATGAAGTACCACTGCACTGTTCAAATTGCCATTTGAAAAATGCTTGTAATAAGAAGAGGAGTTTTTGGTCTGGTTGTTTTGAAAAGTC